GGTTGGGGGAATCCCAGAGCCTATGAAACTGTGTCACATAATGGACCATGGAGCATTGTGGGGTATGAGTTGATCTGCAAAGGTAACCAGGATGATGCCCTGACAGTCCTGTGTGTCCCTATGACCTTTTGAGACTCTGTCATGATGGCATGCTATATCTGAGAGAGAGAGGATCTAGCTGTGGTGAGGTCCAGTTCCACCCAGCAACACACCAGAGAGCAATAGCTGGCACTCTGAAAAGCAAGTGGAGCAGTTAGAGCAGAGTCGGAGCTCCAAGAGGGCATGCAGGGCAATGCAGTTCCCATGTGGCTTTCACCATCATTCTGGTATTCCCCCAGGGGTGGGGTTCATGCCAAGGCTGCACAGGGCAGCAGTGGTCAGAACAGCTCAAGCTCCATGAAGGCCTGGGGTTCAGCTCTAAGCAGGGGTGTGTGAGTATGAAGAGCTCACAGCAGCACTGGCAAGTCCGTGAACTGTGATTTAAATGTTGGCATCAGGTGTTGGCACTGTAAAATAGTAGGCAAAGGCCTTGTCTATGGAGCTGACATCCTGTAAAGGTGTGGGTATGAGTCTCAGCTGTGCCACTTCCACCCCAGCTCCCTGCTAATGTCCCTGGGAAAGCAGAGGAAGATGGTCAAAGTGCTTGGGCCCCCGCACCCCCGTGGGAGACCCAGACGAAGCTCCCAGCTTCAGGCTGGTTCAGCTGCAGCCATTCAGGCCATTTGTGCAGTGAAACAGGATGGAATACTCTCTCCCAAACTCTGGCTTTCAAATAAGAAAAATAAAAAAAAATATTTTAGGACATAATGAAACAAAGTACCTGGTTCACCCAATTCTCACATTGTTGGAAAACGTGAGAAGGCAGACCAACAATGGAAAACCAAACTGGGGTGCACAGCTTCCGTGCCCCCCAGGTCTAGATCTACCTGGCAGGTTAGCTTTTTCTTCCCCAGAAAACCATAACACCACCCCAAAACTGTATGAGACTACGTTTGGGGTATTCAGGACAGGCAGCAAACGTAGGCGGCCTATAAATAACAAGACAGAAGTGATGGGGTCATCAGGAGGAACACAATCAACAGACACCTGGCAGTCCCAAGATGAGTATGATGGACAAATCCCAAATACAGAGCCTTTCGTGCAGCCGGCAGCGTCAACAGCTGGCCTCCGCAAGAGGAACCCTGGGGAAACTCACAGGAACATAACCCTCCTGACTGATGAACAGAAAACACGATAGAGGGAATGAGGGGATATCTTCATAATCAACACCAAAAAAATATAAAGGGAAAAGTTAACTCAGGGGACTAACTAAACAGCCAAACAATACGAGAGGAGTAGTTAGGGATCTTGAAACTAAATGAATAGACATGATCAAATTTGAAAAACAGGGAAAACTTGGGGCTGTTGTGGTGGTACCACAAACTAATCCTTCACGCTGTGGCACCGGCATCCCAAAAGGGGGTTGGTTTCTGTCCTGGCTGCTCCACTTCACACTAAGCTCTCCGCTTAAAGCCTGGAGAAGCAGTAGAGGATGGTCCAAGCCCTTGGGTCTTGGCATTCAGGTGAGAGACCTGAAGGAAGCTCCTGGATCCTGGCTTCAGATCAGCTCAGCTTTGGGTAATGAAGCCATTTAGGGAGTGAACTGTTGATGGAAGATCTTTCTTACTTTCCTGTTCTCTGTCCAATCTGTCATTCTAATAAAAACAAATCTTTTAAAAATGAGGAAAAAGGGGCCTGGCGTGATAGACTGATGGCTAAGGTCCTCATGTTGTATGCGCCAGGATCCCATATGGGCACTGGTTCTAATCCCGGCAGCCCCACTTCCCATCCAGCTCCCTGCTTGTGGCCTGGGAAAGCAGTCAAGGATGGCCCAAAGCCTTGGGACCCTGCACCTGCGTGGGAGACCTGGAAGAGGCTCCAGGCTCCTGGCTTCGGATTGGCTCAGCTGTGGCCATTGCAGCCACTTGGAGAGTGAATCAGCAGATGGAAAATGTTTCTGTCTCTCCTTCTCTTTGTAAATCTGACTTTTCAATAAAAGTAAATCTTTAAAAATGAGGAAAATGCTACTAAAAAAAAAAAATCCAGAGCTTCAGGGCCTTCCCAAATGCTTTCAAAGCCTAAGACATTTGCTAATTACTAGTGCCAGAGGATATATGCGGTCCTGGAAAGCACGCAGTTAGAGGGCCCAGCCCATTCTGGGTTAGGGATCTCAGGCCCTATCTCACAGAGTCCTCTCAGGGACCTGGACAGCCTGGGGTACTGCCCTCTTCTATCTGAGCATCCCTGTCCTCCCTCCCAGGTACCTTCAGGGAATTGCAGGCAGAGCCAATGGGCACCTGTAGATTGCACCATAACTTTAAGATGAGCCACCGTTCCCATTCAATAGGCAGTGACACAGACACTGGAGGGCAGGTGGGGGTGAGTGGAAGCTGAAGTCTACAGCCAGAGGGTGGCAGGGAGCCAATGGCCTGAGCCATCATCCGCTGCCTCCAGACTGGGAATGAGTGGGAGGCTGGAGCCCTGAGTCAGAGCTGGATCTTAAACATAGGCACAGTGTCTTAGAAGTCAGGCCCGTCCCCAGCTCCAGGGTCATGCTCAAGATACACGAGGCAGCACCAACCTGGACACACATTTCTGGAGAAATGTTTTTCTGTTTTTGTATTTTTTTTAATTACTTATTTGAAAGGCTGAGTGACAGAGAGAAACCTAGACATTAGTTTATTCCATTTGCAGCAGCTGGACTGCACAGGCGCTCTCAAGGTTTCCCATGTGACTGGCATCAGCATAACACTTGGTCCGAGTGTCCCAGATGCACATGAGCAGGAAGCTGTGTCAGAGGCAGAGGTGGGACCTGACCCCAGGCACTCCTATACAAGATGAGGGCATCCCAGGCTGCACCACAAGGCCCACCCCTGGGAACTATCTGTCATTGTTTCTTTCACTCCTTCCCTCAGTCACTGCTCAGACATGGTCAGCCTCATCCTTGGGAAAGGAAAGAAGCAACCAAAGGCTGTCCCTCCACCCTCTTGCTCAGATAGCCTACTAACAGCCCAGTGGTAGAGTCATGATTAGTGACACAGCCAGCCTGGTGGGAGGGAAAGCAGCCAGGCACACTGCCTCTACTACTTTAGCTCCGTCTCTTCCGCCAAGGGTAAGAAGACACAAGGGGCAAAAGGAGATGCAGCCAACAGGGGCACTGGTAACAGACGAGGCATGGCAGGGACAGTGGGTGCCCAAAGGGAAGGAGGTCTCAAGCAGCCCCAGTGCAGACCAGGCCATTTATCTGCGCTGTGTGAGAACCTGTTTGGGGGTTGGGCGGACCATCAGTGCCACTCTACATGGACCAGCTGGACCCCACAAGTCCTAGGCAGCTCTACTGGCCTCTAAGGATAGACTCAGCAAGTGACACTGCTGTGGTAGCAAATGCTGAACTCCACTGACAGATGTAGGACTGCACTTGAGCGATGCCAGCAGCAGCAGGTGCTAGCCATCACCTCCAGCGCTGTCAGACGGAGGACTCTCAACCGTCTGCTTGAATGAGAACCACGGGCGTGGCCGTTCCAAAGACTCCATTGTTGGAACCCTCATCTTGAGTTTATAAAGTTGGGGCACTATTCTCCAGTTATTCCTAATGTCGTTCATGGGTTCTACAAACTTTTCAACTTGAAAAGTGAGCCAACTGCATCCTTTAGTCAACTCTGAGTCAGCTGCCTTGGCTGGCCCAGGCCCAGGGATTTGGGGTGCCTTTTACAGCCCTCAGGCCAGATCTTGCTCACCCTGTCAAAGCAAGAGTGGACCAGAGACATCATGGGCCTTCATTTCCAAGCACTAGCCTTGATCCTGGGAATTCCATTCTCTCCATATTTTTATAGGAGCACCAGGGGTAGGATGGAGTCACAAGCAAGCCTGTGTTGCCCACCTGTGTAAAGGTGGGACCAGGCAGAACCTGCTGGGACGTTAACACATGTTCAATCAACTGCCACCCTCTATGTATTTGTCGGAGGGACAGAGAGAAGAAGCAGTCTTGCTTCACTCTGCTGGAGCGCTCCACAAACACCTGCAGCCACCTCCGTCCTGAGCAGAAGCCAGGTCTCCCATGCAGACAGATGGCAGAAACCCAATTGCCTGAGCTGTCAATCCCCACGACCTCCTGAGGCCTGCATCGGCAGGAAGCTGGAGCCAAACTCAGGCTGCTAACGAGGACACACTGTGCTACCCAGTGGGACAGTGTCTATTCCTACTTACATCTGCTTCTATAAAGTGACTCCCTAGCCTGAAATAACTTAGACTTCAACCCTGACAGTTCACTGTGCCAACAGCCTGGATGCCACCGGGAGCTGGGATAGGTGCAGTCTCTCTTGTCCAGGCTGCTTAGGGCCGGAGACACTTAGGACTTCGGATTCTTTAATGATCTGTAAGTATATAATCAGATGCCTTGAGGAGGAGACCACATCCCAGCATGGACTCCGTTTATTTTCCCCATATGCATTTATACACAGCCCGGAGGAAACATAAAACAGTATTTCCAAGGAGGTTTTGCTGAATGTGCCCTGTCACAGGGGTCGGGTAGAATTTCCCATCTGTGTCCTAGCAGAGTCCTAGAGTTCCAGATTTGGGATGCTTAGGGTTTCTGGCTTAGGTCAGTTCACCCTGCACCATGCTGCTGCCTGGAAGCGAGTGCACAGGAACAGGTGCTGTGTTGAGGAAAGCTCATCTGTGACGTGATTCACTGATGGGCATGAGAACCACAGATCTGGTTGCCCCCTCTCCACACTGCTTCCAAGAGCACACCGCCAGCCTCTGTGCCTCCTGGGTGGCTCGGAAGGCACCCAGGCACACAGGCACACAGCAAAGCAAAAGATGGCATCATACACAGGACGGACAGTGCCCATCCAGATGTGGGCCCTCTGGCTCGCCAGCTCCAAGCACACTGCACCCGGAAGCCACTGCTAACTCCTTCCCTGATTTCCTCAGAAGGACTCGCAAGAGCCAGCACTCACCAACCAAGACGACCAGCCTGTACTTCTCGTGCGTCTGTCGCCGATATGGCATCACCTCCTCATAGGTGGGCACGTCAGCTGTATCATACTGGTCGCTCTTCTTGCATTCATACATGGATTTATTTGTTTTCTTATCTTTTCTACTTAGCCGGAAACTTCTTCTAAAGCCAGCTGCGGATACAGGAAATACAATATTTTGAGTCATAACCACCCCACCCCCAAAAAACTCCAAAAAGCAAAAATAAAGACAGTCTGAGTTGGACTGGGATTGTATTCACCATAGCACTGAAACAACTGCATCGAGCACGAGGAAAAAAAAAAGTACACATTTGTAAGCACCTAACACTCAATTTCTGTACCTGGAGTAGTAGACATACATATAAATCAAGAGTTCTTTTCAAAAATTATAAAGGAACTTAAAGCAGAATCCTAAGTCATGAATGTAATTCACTATGGACAGATGAACACACTTGCTTAAAAAAAAAAACAGTAAAAATACCCATGCATAAGTATTCTAAGCACCATCCCAGTGGCACAGGCACCAACTATTGTTTAATAAAAAGAAAAGTAAATGAGGGCCACTGGTGTTAAGTATGCCCACGCACAGCCAGGGCCGGGTGAGCCAAGTTCAGCGAGTAACCCTGACATCATTCAACTCAAATCCTGTTTTCATTGTGGAAGCATTTGCAAATGAAGAACTCAGCTTCATGGTCTCCTCAGGGTGCTCGTCTGATTATATTACACTTTACAAAAGCAGTGGTTTAAAGCCTTCAATTCATTTTCTGTCTGTGCGAAGAATTGTCTGCCCACTCTGCTGCTTTGCTAACTGATGCCTTGTTCTGGTTTCATTTCCTTTCTAGAAGAGTGGAGATCATCACACCTGCCAACCAAGAATTCAGGAAGACATGCAATCAGTTCTCCACCTAACCCTCACACTCCCCAAAATCCAGCCTTTGAAAGCAGTCTGTTTACTGAAACACAGCATATAGTAGCCTAAGCACACATGTTACGGAAGTATACATTCTTGTTTAAGAGTGTAGACATTTGATAGGTATAAAGCTTCCTTTTCTTAAAAAAAAAAAAAAAGTCAAATATTCTGGGCTGGTCTTGGCAGCCACTTGCAACACCAGTGTCCCATAAGGGAGTGCTGGTTCAAGTCCCGGCTGCTCTACTTCCAGTCCAGCTCCCTGCTAATGCTCCTGGGAAAGGGCAGAAGATGGTCCACGTGCCTAGGTCCCTCAACCCACATGGCAGAGTCTGATGGAACTCCAGGATCCTGGTTTTGGCAGCAGACCACCTGGAGAGTGAACCAGCAAATGAAGATCTCCTTCCTTCTGCCTATTACTTTGTCTATCAAGTAAGACACATCAAAAAAAAGACAAACTTGAGGGGCCAGCAGCATGGCCAAGCGGCTAAAGTCCTCGCCTTGAACATGCCAGGATCCCATATGGGTTTCGGTTCTAATCCTGGCAGCTCCACTTCCCATCCAGCTCCCTGCTTGTGGCCTGCGAAAGCAGTTGAGGACGACCCAAGGCCTTGGGACCCTGCACCCGTATGGGAGACCTGGAAGAAGTTCCTGGTTCCCAGCTTCGGATCGGCGTAGCACCGGCCATTGCGGTCACTTGGGGAGTGAATCATTGGACGGAAGATCTTCCTCTCTGTCTCTCCTCCTCTGTATATCTGACTTTGTAATAAAATAAATAAATCTTAAAAAAAAAAAAGACAAACCTCATAATAAAAAAAAAAAAAGGAACCACCAGAACTGAAACGTATGAGCTTTTTGGAAAACAAAGACAGTGAATATTAGCATTGATTTGAGAAATTAATAAGACTTAAAGGCAAGTATGTTTTAAATGACTATCAGTAGCTAAACACAGAGTTAACTGACTTTGTGGATATAAAATTAAATCAGTCAAGATGTTAAGGATGGAGCAACCAGCCTCCTGTGATTACGCAGTTCTGCAGCCTTCCAAGAGGGACTCTAACTAGGAGGGGACACAAAGTATCTGAGGGGAAAGATTACCTGTGACTAACCTGAGTCACAGGGCCAGTGTTGTGGTGTAGGGCATCAAAGTGCAGCTGTCAGCTTCATAGAGTGAATAATGCACAGGAAGCACTCAGCTCTGCCCCAGCCCAAACACACCACCTGGCAACTGGTCAGTGCCTGATGACACTCCAACCAACCCAAAGCACCCTGAGGGCAGGCCCCCTGCATCCCTCCCCGCCCCCCCCCAGCACCAAGTCTAGCAACAAAGTGGCAGATATAAACTTTAATTGGTCAGTATTATAAAACAGCAAGATACTAAGATTAAAGCCTAACTTAATATATGCTACGCACATATGAAATGCCTTAACAATCATTAAGTAGTATGGAATTAAACACACACACACAGCAGTGAGCTGGCGCTGTAGCACAGCAGGTAAAGTTGCCACTCCTGCAACACTGCACCCCGTATTGGTGCTGGCTCCAGCCCTGGCTGCTCTGCTTCTGATCCAGCTCCCCATAATGTCCTTGAGAAAGCAGTGGAGGATGGTCCATGTGCTTGGGCCTGACCCAACATGGCAGACCCCAAAGCGCTCATTTTCTGCCACTTAGTCCTCTACTCCATGTACGCTCTGCATTTGCATACATACACCTTACACTCAGTTGCATATATACATATATACATATTATAAATATATGCATACCCATATGTATCACACATGCACAGAAAGAGGGAGAGGGAGGGAAGAAGAAGTGGAGCAGGGAGGGTGACAGAGAACAGGAAAGGGACATTCTCAGGCTGGAACAAGTAAGAAAACAGCCGGAACAAAGGTTATACCAAAAGACAGGAAAAGCTGAGAGCTGCACGGGATTCTTTCTCACGATATTTCCCAAGGCTCTGGCCTCCCTGAATACTCAAAGGCGACTGCCCTTGGCCTGTCCTTCCAGGCAGGCCACAGACTGCACACCCACACCTCAGTCAAACGATGGAGGATGCATCTGGACGCCTTGGCTAGGGGTGAACTTCAACCCTAAGTCCTACGTCTAGAAAAAGAGGGGCTAACAGCTTGATGCCTTCAGATTGTAACATTTGGTTCTGTTTTTAGAGGGGAGAGAAAAAAAAAAAAAGGTGATCCCAAACTGAAAGTAAATGAGCATTCCTCTGGCCCTGTGTCGTCGTGGTGCAAAAGTCCAGGGGGGAGAAAAGGAACATGTGGCAGGGGCTTGGGTTTTACACCAAACACACATTTTCCTGATATTTCAACTTTTTGTAATTGATAATTGGCTCAACCTTGTTTTTATCTTGCAGGCAGTGTTTTTTCCAGGGAGCTTACCCACAACTGCTAGAGATTTGTGTTTTCGAAAGGAATATCCCATTGCCTTTACGGCAATAGCAAAGTCCCTCCAGAGTCGGGCCTGGAGCTGAAGGCTGGTCTCAATCACCAGGGACCCACCTCGCTGACACCTGCCAACAGACACAGGTGAGGGCATTCTTCCGCAGGCATCACTGAATTGGATGCTTTGAAGGGAAACGTGTTTTAAGTATAAAGAAGGAAGTGTAAGTTGCTTGTTATTTTGCTCCCTGTTTCAATAAGGCCACGATAAACATCCCTGTAGGTTTCTTGAGGCTATGGTTTTCTTCACTAGGGCAAGCTGCTTGTCCAAGTGCTTTTCCGATTGGCTAATGATAAGGTCCACTTTCACCCAGGGCAGGTGCAACTGCTCATCTCATAAGTGTCTCATAAAAGGGTTTCTCAACACTTCTTTAAAGACGTTATTGATTTGACAAGCACAAAATTGTGTGAAGTTGTACAATACGATGTTATTTTTCAATGTTAGTAGGGTTAAACATTTTATTTTTCCAATGCTGGCTACTCACTTATTTCATATTTCTTTTGCAAATTGTTAACATATTTTGATCACTTTTGCAATAGGGTCTTTATAGACACACACACACACACACACCCCTTTTAATATGATCACCATGAGGTCTTTGTCTTGTAAAAACTTTAAAGCTTTCAATTTTCCTGTTACTTTTTGCCATTCACTGTTGAATGTTTGGAAATCGTGTTCCTTTGCGATGCTCCCACCACTCGGTCTTCCCAGCCCGATCTGTGCTAAGTGTTCACCTACGTTAATTCTTAAATTTTTTGGAAGGGGGTTACATGGCTTTGCACTCCCCCCCTTTTTTTTTCACCCCATCTGGAATTACTCACATGCCATCATGGGTCCCAGCTTGTTAAGTGTGGCTGGAAACTGATATTTTTCTAAATAATTAACCCAGGGTCCCAGGAATACTCCAAGAACAGTTCCTTTTACTACTCTGTGTGGGCTACGCACACGCACACGCACTCAGCATCAGAATGCTCGTTATGATCTGATGAGAGATCAATTGCTCATTTGCCTGTAATATCAATGCCAGAACAACAGCAGGGTGGTGGTGGTGATCGGTATTCACTGAGAACTTGCTAGGTGACAGGCACCCCCCGAGGTGCTTCATACAGACAACTTAGTGTTCACAGCCATCCAATAAGGTGGCAAGCCACAGTCCGTACTTATCAAGGAGCCTTTTTTGGTTGCATAAAGAAATGGCTGATGATGTTCTGCTTGGGCCGAGCAGTAAATGATGAAACAAAGTCAAGAGGAGACCTCACCAAAGAAATGCACTGGATATAATAATGGGAAAAGCTAGACGGAATACAGCAAGCATGTTTGTATTATGGGTTTTATGTTTTTCCTAATGTGAAAATTGGTATGAATACAAAAGTACAGAAGCCTATTTAAAAATACATAACGGCTCTATTAGGCAGGGCTGAGGACAATCATTGTGTACTTTCTCACACTTTCTGTACCTCTCCATTATTTTGTAAACTGACAAACTTGGAGTCCATAATCAATGAGCTATGCAACCGTGGCCAGCACAGGCCAGTGAGGCAGTGAGGTTACAGTGACATTCCCCACGAAACAGGCTACATCTCACTGACCAGTTCTGCACTTGTAACTGTTCTGAAGCGATGAGACAACCAGCTAGTTTGTACACGTAGTTGATGAATTCAGACAGGAAGAAAGACATGAGAGCAAAACCATGGAAAAAGATTTAAAGAGAGGGAGAGAGATGACAGGATGAGAATGACACAGATCAAGCCCAAGGAAGAGAGATCCAGGATTTCCACCAAAGAAGGAAGGC